TTTAGTAGAGACGGGGTTTCACCATGTTGACCAGGTTGGTCTCGATCTCTTGACCTCGTGATCCACCCGCCTCGGCCTCCCAAAGTGCTGGGATTACAGGCGTGAGCCACGGCGCCCGGCCTCTTTGCCCACTTTTTAATGTGGTTGTTTGTTTCCTGTTGAATTGTTTATAGATTTTGGATTAGTTCTTTGCTAGATGCATAGTCTGGAAGCATCTTGCCTCATTCTGCAAACTGTCTATTTACTCTTTTGAGAGTTTAATTTGCTGTGCAGAAGATCTTTAGTTTAATTAAGTCCCATTTGTCTATATTTGATTGTGTTGCATTTGCTTCAGGGGACAGCTACTTTCACTATTTAACATAGTACTGGCAATCCTACCCATAGCAATCAAGAAAGAGAAAGACTTAAAAGGTATCCAAATAGGAAAGGAGGAAGTCAAATTATCTATCTTCACTGACAACATGAATCTATACCTGAAAAATGTAGAAAACCTAAAGATTCCACCAAAAGATTCCTAGACTTGCTAAATGACTTCAGGAGTCTCAGGATACAAAATCAATGTACAAAAATCGGTAGCATTTCTATACACCAGTAACATTCAAGCTGAGAGCAAAATAAAAAATGCAATCCCATTCAAAATAGCCACAAAAAATTAAAATTCCTAGAAATACAGCTAACCAAAGAGGTTTAAGATCTCCATGAGGAGAACTACTAAACACTGCTGAAAGAAATGATAGACAGCACAAGGACGTTGAAAACCATTCCATGATTATGGAAGAATCAATTAAATTAAAATGGCCATACTGCTCAAAGTAATCTACAGATTCAACACCATGCTTATCAAAGAATCAATGTCATTTTTCACAGAATTAGAAAAAAGTTTTCTAAACTACATGTGGAACAAAAACAAACAAACAAAAAGCCTGAATAGCTAAGGCGATCCTGAACAAAAACAACAAAGCCGGAGACATCACATTACCGAACTTCAAACTGTACTATCATGCTGCAGTAACCAAAACAGCATGTAGTACAGGAATAGACACCGAAACCAATGGAACGGAGCAGAGACCCGTGAAGTGAAGCCATTTAACTACAACCAGCTGATCTTCAAACAAAAATAAACAATGGGAAAAGGACACCCTATTCAATAAATTGTGCTGGGAAAATTGGCTAATCTTATTCAGAAGAATGAAACTGGGCCCCTAACTCTTATGATATACAAAAATTAGGCAAAATAGAGTAAAGATTTAAACATAGGATGTCAATAATTAATGTAAAATTTGAACAACATTCTATCTATCCATTAGGATTACCATGATTTTTTTATCACTTCAGAAACATGTCAGATAAGTTAGCCTGATTTTTACACCAATCTTGCTACTTTTTACAGTAATTCGGCCACCTTACCTCTGAGTTAAATGCTACCATTTAGTTTCTGCCTTTTCCTAATTTTATTTATCTCATATATGTTAGGGAGCTCAGTAGCATGATAGCATCTCCCAGCTTACAGAAGATAGCTATTATTGAGCTTCTCAAGATGCTGTGGTATATCTCATTTATTTTTTACTTTACACTTTAAAGGAGATAGTGTTGCCTGGGCCCTCTTGGGGAGTATGCTCTGGTGATATAATAAATCTCATTTAATTTTTTACTCTTTTAAGTTTTCTTACTTTTATTCGATGCTACAAAATTTCTCACATCTTTGCTTTGTTTACTCATAGACATAATCATATTCTAGCTTGAAATAGCCATTCCATCAAAATGTTAACACCACCTCCAGATGTCCTCACCAGAACATTGAATCTTTGAGATATGGGTGAGTGTTATTAGCTAAGAAAATAACCTCAGATAGAAGTTAATCTTCTGCCCTATCTACACTTTATAAATCACTCCCGAACATGGCTTCCTCTCCTTCTGATACGTAACAGCCAAGCCTTACAATGTATTTGATGTGTAATCATTTTAATCCTGAAACACAGATTATTTCCACAGCATTGTGTTAAAATGTAATTTGGGTGATTAAATTTACAAAAAAAAATGGTAGGAGTGATGTTCAAGCATTATATTTGAAGTCCATCTTCTAGTTGAGTTATTTAAGGGATCTTACGGAATCTGTCCTCTGTCAAAAAGTAGGAAAAGGAATTTTTAAAAACACATAAAAAGTTGAGGGAATTAGTGGTCCAAGTTCTGCAGAATCATGCACCAAAATGTCCCTGTCTCATTCTCAGACTCTTACTCTTGCTATCAAGGTCTTAAACAAGAAGAAAGAGAAGAAGAAAAAGAAAAAAACACCTGTCCAATCTATAGATTCATCTTCTTTCCAGTTCTGCCTTTCTTACACTTAGATTCTTGTCTGATATTCAACACTGCATTGAGACAACAGAAGATAAAGTTCTTCTTAAATTTTCATAAAGACACATCATTCTTCAGTCGATGGCTATATAATTTAGTATACGACTTTCGTTTCTCAAGGATCTCAATGCCAGCCTCTCCACAACCTTGGTAATGTTAATATTTATTGCCTCCACAGTTTCAAATATCACTGCTACAATACAGCCCAATCTGGTTTCTGCATATAATTTATTCCAATCCAGCACAGGTAAGAATTACAGGAATTATAAAACTGGTATGCATCTCAGGGTTTTTCAGCTCCTCTCAACACCAGCAATAGTTTTTTATTGCCATATGACCGATTCATAATCTACTTCCAAATTTTTAGCTTTCTAAGCAACTATGGGTACTACCATCTTAACTTGGGCTTTACAACAGAGCAAAACCTAAAATGGAAAGTTAAATATAAGTAATGTACAGGGGAAGAAAATCCAGGAAATAGAAGTGAGGGATGGGGGGAAAAGGCAAAACTAGTTACTCACTCTCACCGAATCTTTTGGTTTTTTTGTTTGTTTTATTTTGTTTTGTTTTTGAGACAGAATCTCACTCTGTCATCCAGGCTGGAATGCTATGGTGCAGTCTTGGCTCACTGCAACCTCCATCTTCCAGGTTCAAGAAATGCTCCTGCCTCAGCCTCCTGAGTAGCTGGGATTACAGGAATATGCCACCATGTATTTTTGTATTTTTAGTAGAAACAGCGTTTCACAATGTTGGCCAGGCTGGTCTTGAACTTCTGACCTCATGATCCACCTGCATTGGCCTCCCAAAGTGCTGGGATTATAGGCTTGAGCTACCACACCTGGCCCTCATAGAATCTTAGAAAGGTTTCTTAGGCTAGTACATCATAACAATGAAAGGAGAGAAGAGGTACCCATTGGTTTTCATTCTCTACTGGTCATCCCATGGAGTATTAAATTCCCATTTCCCAACTGTCCATGTGTGAGATCCAGGAGGCTTGTGCCTGTGCCAACAAATGCAAGGAACAGGAAACTAGACGTTAAGGAGGTAAGCCCTGAGATAAGTACCTATGCAACTATCTTGCATGTTCTGCACATGTGCCCCAAAACCTAAAATGCAATTAAAAAAGCAACTGTCAAGTGGTCCCTACATGAAGCTGTTTGAAGCCTACACAGAACTAACAATACAGCAGTAACTACTGTAAAACAGAGGAGGTTGAGCACATCTGAAATGGCACACACACAAGAAGTGATTAATACAGGGGAAAGGTAAACAATAAACAAAATGTGCAATATGGTAAATTATGACATGTGTATGGGAAAAATACATAGCAAGCAAAAGGGATGAAAAGATCAGAGACTGGTGAGTCAAATTTAAATAGGATGATTAGAGACAGTCAAAGAGGTAAAATATGGCAAAGTTACGTAGGGCTTTAAAGGACATTCCTTTCAAGGAATTTTGCTCTAAGTAATAGTCTTTGGAAGACGTTGAGAAGAGACATGAGGTATTCTGACTTATGTTTGTCTGCTATCTTCAGAACGTGCTACATTTGGGGAAACAGCTAAAGCAGATAAATAAGTTTGAGGCAATCATAGTAATCTAGTGGAAGAATATAAGGTTTTAGACCAAAATGGTAGTGTTGGAGGTACTAAGAGGTGGCCAAATAATAGATATATTTAGAAGGCAAACCTAGGATCATTTGCTGATAGATTTTGTGTGAGGCCTATTGTTATGGACTTAATTCAAAGAATTGAAATGGAAAAAAAGATACATCTTATTTACTATTTTTAATGTATTTCCTGCACTAGTTTTATTATCATTTTCTAGATGAGAGCATGAAACTCTAAGAACTGTGAATTGAATGCACATCTTCATGATCCAGGTTGTCTAAACCAATGCTCAGCTCAACAGATAGTGAAGCCCTGAAGATGCTGTGTAGTTGTCAAGTCTGTAATGCTGATAGTCACATTGATCCATCAACAAAAGAGAATGTCTCATGCTTCATAATTTAACCAATAGACATTATCCTTTAATGAAGGATAGCATCTTAATGAGAGTGATCTTGAAGGAACAGAGAACTACTCTGGGAGTACCAACACTTAATTTATTAGTTTGGCAAGAGGATATGAAGAAAGCAATCCCATAGTTTGAAAAATGGACCCCTGGAGGCTGTACAGTCTGCCTTTTCTCATTAAGTTCATCTAGACACGGGGCTCCCACTGATTTCCAAGGGAACTCTAACCTTGCATCGACATCCCTAAGGATGAAGAATTACAGGGGAAACTGGTCTAGCTCCACACTGAGAATCTGTAGAGATGGAGAATGGTAAATTCCTTTACTTTGCACTTCTGATCCTATAACTTTAAGAATTCCACAGGTTGAGTGGGTACTAGGACAAGAATGTAAATATAAAAATAGAATATGGTTTAATATCAAATTAAACTTCAGGAATTAAATTGTCATGTGCCATTAAAGAGAGGTAAAAAAAATGATAAAATGTTTCTGAAGAGATTCTACTTCCAGCTATGAAAAGAACATGAACCAATCTACAAAGCTAATGACTTGCTATCCGGTGGCTAAAAGTGAATTAAGTAATTAAGTAAAATGTAAAGGAAAATCTTGGCATTGCAAAATCCTTCATTAATGACTCACCTGCGACACTGAGGAGAAATCATGGTGCAATCCACTGTACATTTCCTTCCTAAAAGGGAATCCAAATAAAGAATTTTTTTAAGAGAGTCCAAGTAACATAGCTTTTACTTTATGATTCATTGTCTTCATTAAGTTATTAGTTACTCTGATGCCCTGAAGTGTAGTGTTATATAATAGTTCAGATGAAAATGGTGTCATACATAGTGTTAAAAGTTTAGCAATTATGGTAACTAAAACGTGATTTCTTAAAAAAAGAAGTCAATTTATCTCTTTTGTAATTTCTGCCTTGAAAGTATTGATTGAAGGATGTGCAGCTGCAATAATTGCTAAGTTTTATGGCATAGTTGTGTGTATATGCGTTTGTCTGTGTGCACGTGCTCATAGTTTTAACTGAAGAAACAAAGTTTGAAGCCATCTTTCTCCAATGGCCTTTTTCAAATGTTCAACTCTTACTTTAAAAAATAAAAGGAGTGTTATTGTGTATATTTGAAGTTTACAACATGTTATATAATGCATATAGTGAAGTGGTTATAACAGAAAGCAGATTAAGGTATCTATCATCCTGCTTAATTACTTCTTTTTATCTGTACAAGCAATGAAGAAACACACACTTTTTACTATTTTCATGATGAGAGCAGCTGAAGTCTACTTATTTAACAAAAAATTACAATACAATTCAATTTAATTAACTTTAGCCCTCATTTCATATATTAGATCTCTAGGTTTTTTTTATCCTACATATCTGTTATTATTTATGTATTGACTCTGCTTGATAACATCTGTTATTTTGTTCAGCTCTTGACATGGTTTAAAATGGCATCTGATTTATAGAACACACATGGAAAGCAAGCTCCTTCTTCTGAGCCTGAGCCTGAATCATTCTAGGTTACTTGAAACATCTTTAACCATAGCTATGAGAAATGGTAATTTCACCATTTCAAGAATTTGAAAATTTTGTTAAGAAAAACATGATCCAATGTTTATCATTTTCATCAGCAGAAAGGGACATTTTCGGATACCTGTTACTGGATATCTACATCCCTTTTGTGATGCTATAATAAAATACCTGAGACTGGATAATTTATAAAGAATAATATTTTCTCATGGTTCTGGGGCTCTGGCAGTTTTAATTGTCTGGTGAAGTATGCCCTCTGCCTCCAAGATGCCACCTGGATGCTGCATCCTACAGAGGGGAGAAATGCTGTGTCTACACATGGAAGAATACAGAAGGGCAAGCTCCTGAATGCTGTGTGAAGGCTGTTTCATAAGGTCCTTAATCTCATTTATGAAAGAGGAGCCTCCGTGGCCAAATTACTTCTTGGTGATTCCACCTCATCATACTGTTTTATTGGCTACATCTAAATTTTGAAGGGGACACATTCAAACTGTAGCACTGGGTCATAGTATTTATTCTTCAATTTTGACTTTTTTTTGCCAATTGTTATTTTTTAAATTTATTACATTTTAGGTTTTGGGGTACATGTGAAGAGCATGCAAGATTGTTGCAAAGGTACAAACATGACAGTGTGATGTGCTGCCTTCCTCCCCATCACTTATATCTGTCATTTCTCCCCATACTATCTATCCCCACACCCCGCTGTCCCTCCCCTATTTCTCCCGACAGACCCCAGTGTGTGATGCTCCCCTCCCTGTGTCCATGTGTTCTCATTGTTTAACACCCATCTATAAGTGAGAACATGCAGTGTTTGATTTTCTGTTCTTGTGTGAGTTGGCTGTGAATGATGGTTTTCAGGTTCATCCATGTCCCTACAAAGGTCACAAACTCATTGTTTTTGATGGCTGCATAGTATTCCATGGTGTACATGTGTCACATTTTCCCTGTCCAGTCTATCATTGAGACAAAAACAAGCAATGGGGAAAGGAGTCCCTGTTTAATAAATGGTGTTGGGAAAACTGGCTAGCCATGTGCAGAGAGCAGAAACTGGACCCCTTCCTGACACCTTACACTAAAATTAACTCCAGATGGATTAAAAACTTAAACATAAGACCTAACACCATAAAAACCCTAGAAGAAAACCTAGGAAAACCATTCAGGACATAGGCATAGGCAAGGACTTCATGACTAAAACAACAAAAGTATTGGCAACAGAAGCCAAAATAGACAAATGGGACCTAATCAAACTCCACAGCTTCTGCACAGCAAAAGAAACGTTCATTAGAGTGAATCGGCAGCCAACAGAATGGGGAAAAGTTTTTACAATCTACCCATCTGACAAAGGGCTGATATCCAGAATCTACAAAGAACTAAAATAGATTTACAAGAAAAAAAAACAAGCCCATTCAAAAGTGGGCAAAGGACATGAACAGACACTTTACAAAAGAAGACATACATGAGGCCAACAAACATATGAAAAAATGCTCATTATCAGTGGTTATTAGAGAGATGCAAATAAAAACTACATTGAGATACCATCTCACGCCAGTTAGAATGGCAATCATTAAAAAATCTGGAGACAACAGATGCTGGAGAGGATGTGGAGAAATAGGAACACTTTTACACTACTGGTGGGAGTGTAAATTAGGTCAACCATTGTGGAAGACAGTGTGGCGATTCCTCAAGGACCTAGACATAGAAATTCCATTTGACCCAGCAGTCCCACTACTGGGTATACATCCAAAGGATTATAAATCGTTCTACTATAGGGACACATGCACATGAATGTTCATTGCAGCACTGTTTATAATGGCAAAGACTTAGTTTTGACTTTTAATATAACTTCAGAAACAAAATGTCTGACCATATTGAAATTCTTCCTGGATATGTAGATGTAAATGGTTTATTTGTCCTACAAAATACCAACTCTTTCCCATTTAAAGCAAATAATGATTCCTCCTCAGTAGCCCCCTCATTTCTCTTTAGCCACTCTCTTTATTCAGATTTTCATGATTTTCACTGTGATTATTCTAATTCTCTGGTAACTGGTACTATAATCTCTAATATTTCCTATATTTAACATGTATTCAGCAACACAGGAAAAATATATGTTCTACCATATGGTTTTGATTCTCCTTAGAGATCCTCATAATATTTATCAGTCATGGTTTAATCAAGTAAGTAGAACTACGGGACACACACACACAGACACACACACTCACTCACTCCCACACAACTGTGTGGGCTGGTGAAGCAGTCCCTGTAAGAAGACTGCAATCTTTGCATCTGATGCTGGAGCTTGAAGTCTGCAGGACAGGTACACTCACAATTGTAATGGATGTAAAGCAGTAGAGAATGAGAACAATTTGGCCCCCATAAGCATGAGCTGGAACACACATGGATGCTAAACTCCGTGGCAGGTCTCACTTCTGACTTTGTATGGATGTCATCGGAGAAGCTGGCATCCTTCATCTTCATCATAGAGCTCTACACCCTCTTGTTCCAGGAGTTGAGGAAGCCACAAGAGGATTCAGGGAAAGATTGAACAGTTAAAACACTGGCTGCTGCTTCAAGCTGATAAAATAAGCCAGCAGATTGATAACCACATGTATGTGCTAGAAAATGCCTCATTGTTCACTTTTCCTTCTAAATCTTGCACAAAATTCTCAGTTATAGCCCACTCTGAATGAAAACATATGCAGAAAAAATTGAGGGCTATATATTTTAGTCTAGTCAATTTAAGACATTACAAAGCCACTATATATGGTATACTACTATCTTAGACTAAAGTTCAAACGTTTTATCGCATTTTATGAGGCTTTAAATTTTTTTTTCTGGTCTTACTTTACTGCATCCTATACCAGGGGCTCAGAAATTTTATCTGTATATGTTAAATAAATATTAAATATTTTGCACTTTGTGGCCTGTATATGATTGCTGTCACATGTTCTTGTTTCTTTGCTTGTTTGTTACACAACCTTATAAACACTGTTAGCTCATAATCCTATAAAAATAGGTCGCAGACCATATTTTGCCCGTGGGCTGTATTTGGCAACCCCATCCTATCCTACAATATACAGACTTGAAATTATGGTCATTGTCAAATCTCCACATACTTTAAATAAATAAATAAATCTATTTCTTCTTATACATACCTTTCTTTAGAAACACATTTCTCCAATTTTTGTACTTATGCAACTTCTATTTATCTTATACTACTCAGATAAAATGTCTTTATTCCTAGAAAAACTTTCCCAACCAATGAGTTAGATTTGGTTCCCCCTCATAAAACTTTGTACAAAATTCTAATATAAAGCCTTATGATTATTAATTTTCCATGCCTACCTTATTCATTGAACTAAGAGTTACATAAAATCAGAGTCAACACTTTCTACAGTTCAGTTCCCCAATGGCCAGGACAAATGGCTGGCACCAACTGGGCTCTCACTTGGAATCACTTGAATTATAATCACATTTATGTCCACTGTACCTTTCTTCTTCTCCCTCAGAAGTACCAATTATTCTTAGGTTTGGCCATTTTACATAATCTTATATTTCTTGAAGACTTTTTTTATTTCTTTTCTTTTTTTATATATGTTTAGGTTAATTTAAAGGTCTTTCCTGGAGCTCTGAAATTTTTTTCTACTTGTTTCAGTCTATTGTCAAAACTTTTCACCATAATTTGTAATTCCCTAAGTGTGTCTTTTATTTCCAGAAGTTCTTATTGATTTTTTTAATAATATTTAGCTCTCTAGAAATTTTTTCATTTATATACTGAACTGCTTTTTAAATTTCTTCATTGTGGTTTTCACCTTTCTCTGATACCTCCTTGGGTAGCTTAATAATAGCACTTCTGTATTTCTTGTCTGGTATTTCAAAGATTTCATCTTGGTTTGGATCCATTGCTGGAGAGTTAGTGTGATCTTTGGGGGTGTTATAGAATCCTATTGTGTCCTATTACCAGAGTTAGTTTTCTGGTTCCTTCTCATTGAGGTATATTATTTCTTCTAATTTCTCTTGAATTTATGCTTGGTTTGACTGTGTTTCTTTTGTTTGTTTGTCATTTCTTTTTTTCTCTTAAGTATGTGACTTTAATGCTTATAGTTAATTACATCCTAATTCGGTTTTTGGTGCTCTCAGGGGAGCTCTGTAAG